ATGCTTACATTAAGCAAGGTGCCAGCAACCAGCAGTGTTTTTCCCACCATGCTATCTAAACTTGCTCAGAGCAGGATTATACGGTGCTGTGTTTCAAAGAGGAATAGCTGCTCAGAGCCCAGTCTGTTTTGGTACCCTTGTGATGCTGCAGTTAGTGGAACAGCTAGTGATAACAAGAAGGTTTTTCAGCTTGAAAACAAGTAAAAAAATTAAAAAGCTTTCTTGGAAATACTCTTCACAGAAAGACCTTTCCCAGTGTTTATTTTTCTTGCTCTTGTTAGACAGTTCTAAAATTTCATGGCTATGCCAGCTTGAACCTGCCTGCCCTCAATCCATCTCTGAGATTTTTAGGAGCTATACAAAGCTCAAGGTATGGCCGTCTTTCAGCATCAAATCTAGATCATCTGTGCTCTGCATGGAGGTGCCAGTGTATTCCCAAGACTTCTTGGCCCCTTTCAGCCATCCCAAAACCAGAACGACAAAGCGAATTAGGGAAATGCAGTTCTTAGCATCAGGCTCTGGAATCTGCATAACGCCTGAAAATTTGGTATTTTGTGTAAATTGGAAGCAATGCAGCTGTTAACTGAAATGCAGTATATGAAGCATGAAAAAACCTGTGCATTTTACCTGCAGCTTCTCGCCCTAAGTTTTCCTTCATGTCCCTGTGATTTGTCTGCTGGCATTATATGCTGAAATGATTTAAACATGCTTGGCTCTGTACACAGCTCTGTACGTAGTCTTCTCCAGACAATTTTAACATACATTTCCTTAGGCGCATAGTTCTAGTAAGTACACTGTGGCCAGATTGAACTAAAAAAAGGAAATGTCTCTAACCATGTCTAAAAAAAAAAAAAAGTTAATTGGGAATTTTGGAAATTCAGTGAAAAATATGTCTGAGACCTTGTTCAATGAAACAGACGCAAAAAATGAACTATAGTGTTTATGAGAGACTAGATTCTTCGTTTGACAGATGGACTTGAGGTTGTTAATGCTAATACTTCTTTATAATACATTGAATTAAGCACCATGATGAAGGAATATATTTTTACTTGGTGCTCTTTTTATAATTTGGGGGTGTGGGGGGGGTTATGGTCTGGAAGAAACCTTCTGACATTGTCAGAGGACAGCATGTTCAGAAACCTTTCCAGCACAAAAAGTCACAGCATCGTCACTCCCTTTTCTCTGCAAGGAAGATGTGAAATCTAATATCTTGACCTGCAGCTGCAGCGAGGGCAAAACTACTCACCTATTAAAGAGTTTGTAACCTTTGGAATCAAATCTATTAG